ATTCTTATAATTATCTCCCAGTCTCTGATGTTGACTGGGAGAAATTTGTTCGTACTGTTTCAGAATTTTTTCATCTGTGCAACATTAAAGGTATTTCTTACAGCCACAGCCCATTTCAAATTATCCTGCAGTATCTCAATGGGATTAAGATCTGGGGTTTGTCTTGGTCATTCCAGAACTTTCCATTGTAGAGTTTTGTTTTAATTATTCTTTAGTGGATTTACAAGATTATTTAAGGTTATTGTGGTGTTGGAAGGGCCTCAGTTGAGCTTCTATCTTCTGACATATCACATTATCCTCAAGTATCCTCTTGTACAATGAAGAATTCATAATGGAATCTGTGATGGTGAATTGCTCAGGCTATGATGCAGCAGAACAGCCTCAAACTATAACATTTCCATCACCATGTTTTACATTTGGTATCAGGTTCTTCTGGTGAAATGCTGTCTTTGGTTTTCACCAAATGTGTCTTCTTGGGCTCTGGCAAAAAAACTGCCTTGTTGTCCAGAGCACATTGTTCAGAAATCCTGGCCTTTGCCTAGGTCAGTGATGGCAAACCTATGGCATGTGTGTCGGGGCACGCGAGGCGCTGCCCTGTCAGCTGGCCAGCTCATATGCGCACCCTCGCCAGCTGAGTTCACCCTTTTTTAAAGCCATTTTTCACCCTCCCTAGGCTCCAGAGGCTTCATAGGAGCCTGGGGAGGGTGAAAAGAGCCCCCCCCCCCCGGAGGCTCTCCGGAGGCGACATGAGCTTCCCTGAAGCCTCCGGAGCGCAAAAAACCGGCCCTATGGGCAAACCGGAAGTTCAGGAACAGACTTCCTGTTTGCTCGGAGGGTCGTTTTGACTGCTCCAGAGGCTTCAGGGAAGCCTCCTGAAGGTCCCTGAAGTCTTTGGAGTGCTTAAAATGACCCTCCGAGCAAACAGGGAGGGTCATTTTGACTGTTCCCGAGGCTTCAGGGAAGCCTCTTGAAGGTCCCTGAAGCCTTCGGAGCGCTTAAAACAACCCTCCGAGCAAACCGGTTTGCTCGGAGGGTTGTTCTGACTGCTTCAGAGGCTTCAGGGAAGCCTCCTGAAGGTCCCTGAAGCCTCCGGAGGGCTTCCGGGGGGGAGGGAGAGGCTGTTTTTGCCCTCCCCATGATCTCATAAAGCCTCTGAAGCCTGGGGAGGGCGAAAAAAGCATGCAAAAATGGGGGGAGTTGCGCCTGCAGTGTGCGCTTGCACAGTGGGGGGAGTCGCACATTGCATTATGGGTGTGGCACGCCTGCACACGACCCCCCCTGCACTCCCCCCACTTATGGCACGCAAGCCAAAAAAGGTTCGTCATTGCTGGCCTAGGTATTCCAAATGAACTTTAGTGTGATGTTCTTTCATGACAGCAAAGGTTTTGCCCCTACCATAACCTCCTTGTAGATCTACTTTCTAATAGTAGACTCAAGCATTTTAACATCATTAGTAATGAGAGCTACCTGTAAATCACACATGAAGTTCTGTAGTTTCCAGTGCCTTTTTTTCAGTACTTTATAAATCCATTTCATCTATAATGAAATGGTAACTCTATGTCCCTCCACAACACAGAGCAAATTAAACTAAATATCTGACACTTCAATAAGACAGGTTCCTCAAAGAACCTCTCTAATAATGTTCTAATTATTTTTATCTGATGTGGTATGTCTTATTCTTATTTTAAATTACACAATGGACTACAAAATGTATACTGTGCATGATACAGTTACCAATATTGTTGAAATAGGTTTATCTTGAAAAAGTCAAATATTTAAAATGGAAAGTAGTTCATTTTTT